TTTATCGCGCATTAGATAAAGGTGGAGAGGATAAGGCCATTGCTCTTGACATTTCTAAAGCGCTTGATAAAGTTTGGCATGCTGGTCTTCTCCATAAGCTTTCTTCTTAAAGATGTTTCCAGTGTATCTGGAAACATCTTTAAGATTATTGAATCCTTCCTTTTTAATCATAGTATAAAGGTTGTCCTTGATGGACAGCACTCTTCTTCTTATTCTGTAACCTCAGGGGTTCCTCAAGGTTCAATCCTTGGCCCTCTACTCTTTTTAATTTACATTAACGATCTTCCAGATATTCTCACATCTAACGTGGCATTGTTCTCTGATGATACTACCATTTATTCTTGTCACGATAAGAAGCCAACTCCCTCTGATTGCTTGCAGGGGGCATTTGAGCTTGAAAAAGATCTCACTTCTGCTACAGCATGGGGCTCACAGTGGCTGGTGAACTTTAATTCAGATAAAACTCAATTTTTTTTGGCCAATCGTTATCGCAATAATTTAGACCTTCCTATATTTATGAATGGTAATGTACTCGATGAGTCCCCTACCCTTCATCTTCTAGGATTAACTCTTACTTCTGATCTTTCTTGGAAACTTTATATCAAATCTGTTGCAAAATTAGCATCTACTAAAGTTGCTTCTCTTTATCGAGCTCGTCACTCTGGATTCTATTCTCTATCTCTATAAATCTCAAATCCGGCCTTGTAGGGAATACTGTTGCCATATCTGGAGCGGATCTTCTGATGATCCCCTTTCTATTTTAGACAAGGTGCAAAAACGCATTGTAAACATAGTTGGACCTGCTCTTGCAACCAACCTTCAGTCTCTGTCACATCGTTGTAATGTTGCTTCTCTTTCTCTTTTCTACAAATACTATAATGGGCACTGCTCTAAAGAGCTAGCGTCTCTTGTGCCATCTACAATTCATTCTCGTGTTACTCGTCAATTAATTTAGTGTCACCCTTTTTCTGTTACTGTTCCTAAGTGCTGCAAAAACTCTTATTCGTCTAATTTTTTTCCTCGAACATCAGTTCTTTGGAATTTGCTTCCTTCATCTTGGTTTTCTGATTCATATAATTTGCAATCTTTTAAGTCGTCTGTCAATCGTTATCTTGCTCTACAATCTTCATCTTTTCTCTTCCAGTAACTTCTAACACTAATTAGTGATTGCTAGCAGCCTTGTTGGAAGCGAAGATAATTGAAAAAAAAAAAAAAAAAAAAAGCAATCATTATTTTTTAAAACATTTTTTTATCTTGTTTACAAAAGAGAACTGGAATACAAATATACTGCATAATGTTTACTGCAATTTGATTTTTACTGAACTGTAATTTTTTAAATTGTTTTTATGCTGTTTTTTCATCAAACAATAGTCATTGTTTAATAATTAAACCCAGTACTCCAAGTACGACAGGACAGGGTGATATACCAGCCCATCACCTATTAAAGTATAAAACATATAGCAATCATATGATGGTATTTTAAAAATACTGAAAACCATCTCGTTATGTTTTTTCCCATTTAGAGCACTGTTAAAAAGGTGAAAGATAAAACACAAAGTTTTTATGGATTAAACTGGCTAAAATTGTAATTTTTCAATAATTATTTAATTTTTGCATTTGTTTAAAAAAAGTTTTACAATCTAATACTTTTAATATTATTTTTTTATACAACTTTTATTTTGACTGGTTCAGGATAAGACATTGTCTAGTTTGCAGCTCTCAAAAGTTAAAACTTAATGAATAGACATGAGTTGAAAAAAGATGAGTAGGTGGGATAGATAATTTGTAAAAATTCATTATCACTTGAGATTCTGAGATTCAAAATCTATGAACAGTTGCAATTCAAATTTGTAAAAACTCCTCTCTGGCTTATATGCTGTCATCATATTTTTTTAATTTTTTTTGGGTCATATCTGAAAACTTTATTTCAAAAACAGGTTGACGTTATTATACATTTTACAATTATTAAAATCAAATCACGCATAGGAGATTTATAAAATGCTGCAGAATTATACATATATGTAATTTCCTACAGGCAGTAGTGCAGGCAGTAGGCAGTGATGTGTTTATATAATTTAGTAGACAAATTAAAAATTTGTTCATAGGAATGGGAACTAAAATAGAATTTATTTAAAATAAAGCTGTTTTTAAACCTTTAAGGTAACTATCAATGCATAAAATTTAGTAAGGTAGTCTGAAATATATACATAAAATTAAACATATAAAACAAAGTCAAAAAAAGTTTTTTTTTCCTCAGGACGAGGCTAGGCAAAACAAAGTTTTCAAAGTGGTCAAAAGTTGCAATAAGTATCAATTATTTGCTGATTACACAAATAATAACTGCTTTTATAAGATGTAACAACATGAGTAATAAGACAATTGTTATTTTACTGAAAAAATATTGTTCATAACAAATTTGCTATTGGGATAAAAATCCTAATCTTTTTTGACTTTCCTACAAAATCCTTCGACATATTTTAGGCTAAAAACAAAAATAATCAAATCAAATTCGCACTCAATAATGTCTTTTAATACTCAATAATGTATTCTTATGTGTAAAGGATCATGTTTTCATCAAAAAAAAATTTTTTGGCCTGCCTTTATACAATTTCAAGTTTGTTTTTTAGAAATATACAGAGTTAAAGCAATATGGTTACTACAACAATTCATTTTCATATGTAATTTTACGGAAAGGAAAAGAAGCAAAAAGTAAATATTTTTTAAATTATAACGTTTTTGAAAAAAGTCAAATTTTTCTACAGCTATTAAGTATTTTTTTAAATTGTTTTTATCATTTTTTGTAAAATTGTATCCTGTAAAATAAATAAAATGCTATATATAATAAACATATATAAAATTGATATTATTTTTTTTATATATTTACTATAAATGTCAGCAGGCTTGACATGACACTTTATTTTCGTTAATTTAGATTCAAATGTTGAAGATCGTATCTGGACAAGAATATTAAAACCCATCAAGCCAAAAGATAAACATATCATTTGTGAATTATGCAGCTCTAATGGTAATGTATTTTTATTTTATTGCTTCTTGTGTTTGTAAAATTAAGTCCATGTTCCACTCCACCATGTTCTTAGTATTATCTTATATGGTGGAACTTGACATTGCTGGTTTACACCCTCAAAACATTTATAATCTGCACACACTCAAAATGAATATTAAATTTTTAGTAAAATTAGTAATGGGAAATTTCTTCTACTAAACTTTCTTTTGCTTTCAGTTCTTTATTAAGAACCACTACTTTTAAAATCCAGTATTTTTTTTTAAATACTTGAACAATGCATATTATATTATGTAACAAAGTGTTAAAAAAAAATTTTAGCATTTTAATTTTTTTTACTTTTGTTTTAAAAGTTTTGTTTTATTCATAATTATGATACGCTTCTGAATAATTTATCATAATTTTGATTATATTAATCAGTCATTGAAATCCAAGTATTTGCATTCAGCAAAGCTAACATAAAAATTAATATTGCTTTTTCGACCTGAATTGACCTATGTTGTGATAAATTCAACATTTACGTGTTGTCTTCAAAATGATCAAAGATAAATAGATGTGATAAATAAAAATAAATAGATGTGATAAATAATTATGGATAAAAAAAAGTTATTATACATTAGTTATGTTTTAATAATTTAGTTAAAGCATTTGTATGTATTAATTGCTTACATATGGTCGCCATTTCACATTTTAGTTATTTTTAATCATTATTTTTCTAGAGTTGAACACATAACTCTTAATTTAGATAACTTATTAAGTTTTAATAAGTTATCTAAATTAAAAGACATAAAAAGAAACATATTGAATGATACAAAATCAAATAAAATTAATTAAAACACTCAAAAGAATTATTTTTGATACAATTAAAAAAAAAAAAAATTTTTTTAATCTATGAACGTTTCCAGAAACTTGTTTTAGTAACAAGATCCATATACAGCTGTATGATGTGGTGTAGGGTAAATGCTATATAATTGTTGAAACACAGTATGTATTCTTATTATGACTTTAATCAGAGATTAAAAAAATTTGACATCATTTTTTTAAATCATTAAAGTGATGCAATTAATTAATAAAAGATATTTAATTTTACGCAGCTATGGTGTAGTGGTTAAAGTTCTGGCTCAGAACCTAGAGGTTTGTGATTTGATGCCAGCTCTAGCCCAATAAGCGACAAAGGAAGGAATAACATTTGCAAGATAGGTTAATCGGTGCTCTGTGAAAAGACCAATAGGTCTTGTTAGAGCACCTTATTAACCTAAAAAAAAATTTTAACACCCATACTTTCATATTCATTCTTGTTTTCTCTTTTGTTTTATATTTTTCTGAGGGTTTTCATTGCTCAATCTAGTTTAAGCAACACAGGTTTCCTACAACGAATCATCATCATTATCATTCTCATCATTGAGAATGATAATGATAATATTTTACAGATTACAACGAATCATCATCATTATCATTCACATCATTGTTTTAGCAGTCTTATTTTTGCATTTTGGAAATTTGTTCATGTTTTTCTCCAATATTCAGGGTTTTAAGCATCTTCTTTTTATAACTAGAACTTTTTAATGTTTTTTTCTGTAACTCTCACTGTAAGTTTTTCTGTTTCTACAACTACCTATTTTTTATTAAACTGCAATTACTCAACATTTTAATACCCTGGCACCTTTCTAATATGGTACTGTTTTTGTTTTTTTTTATATATATATATACATATATATATATATATATATATATATATATATATATATATATATATATATATATATATATATATATATATATATATATATATATATATATATAATTGCCGTTTAAATATTGTTACAATAATGAATCGTATAAATTGAATTTACATGGCAGCAGTAAAAAGAAGACAATAGTAGTCTTACCACTAAGCCCCGTAGTTAAAACCGTGTTTTACATTTCATTATATAATGTTTTAATACATATACATACATGTTTTACACATATACACACACACACATGTACATATACACACACATATATACACACATACATACATACATATATACATACCTATACACATACACACACACATACATATATATACGCAAACAATATACACACATACATATATTTATACTTTTTTAAACAAAAACCTTTAAAATGTAATTTAAATAGACAATAACAAAAAGAAAGAAACAAATAGCAAAATACAAATTCAAAAACCAAGTTTTAAAATAAAAAATTAAAAAATAAAAAAAGAGAGAGAAAAGCGAAATATAAAAACCTCGAGACGACCAAAAGAAAATGTCGTATTGAGTAAATAATAAATAAATTTTTTATTTTTTTTAAATTTAGTTTTAAAACATTTAAACTTAAAATTATTTATAGTTAAATATGGGCGGGATAGCTCAGATGGTTATGTGGCGGGATAGCTCAGATATCAGATATGTGGCGGGATAGCTTAGATATCAGATATGTGGCGGGATAGCTCAGATGGTTAGAGCGTTAAAGGAAAAGTGAAAACCTGGACTGTTAAACGATACGAGTTCAAATCCCGCCACCGCCAACTCTTGAGCAGTACTTCGGTACGCAAAAATGTTGGTCAATAACGGACGCTACTTTGGATTAGTCTTAATGACTATTTGTGGCTGTTCCTATGCTAAGCCAACAATATCTTCGGATATAAGAACATTGTATAGAAAAATATAGCATGAAAACTCAAATAAATAAAAAAAAATATAGTTAACAACAATAGATTGAAGAAAAGAAAAAGCAAACCAGCCAGTTAATAATAAATATAACATATAATATTATTTTTGATATTTAGAAATAACTTATTTCATTGTCTATATTAAGAAGTTTTTGTTTAAGTTTTATTTTAAATTGGTTAAGGGAAATAGTATTTTTTTTATATCGTTATTGATTTTTGTATTCCATAATTTGGACCCTTTATTTGCAATTGAGAATTTTGTGGCCATATAATATGTTTTGTTAATACTTTTATATTTTACAGATTTTGATATAATCATATATTTAAGAAAAGCATCTCTTCTTAAGCCTCTTAGCTTCTTAAGCCTCTTAGCTTCTTAAGCCTCTTAGCTTCTTAAGCCTCTGAGAACATTTGCATTGTTCAAAAAATTTTAGTACCAGCAGGCTTTAGAACCTTTAAACTAATTTTTAGAAGTGTACTCTTGTTAAGAGATAACAAGAAGAGTTACAGACCAGAGTTACATTGCCACCTTAAACGGAGGCAAATAAATATTAAAATAAATAAATCTTTAAAAATTAAAAAATTTTCAAACTCTTCATTCCATTTTCTACATCTGTAAATCTCCTACTTGGTTCTGTAAATCTATTTTTGTATGGAATACTTTTGTTTTCTTTAGATTGATTCTTCTAACAATCGTCTTTCTCTTTCCAAATTGTAATATTAACTTAATCTAGCTGCCATTAGTTTCAATCTAGCTGCAATTAGCTTCAATCTAGTGTCATTAGCTTCAATCTAGCTTTGTTCGAAACAAATCTTGAGTCCCTGTCCAGTCAGCAAAAAATTACTTTTTCTTATCTATAAATAGATAAGAAAAAGTATCATGAAAATACTATCATGGTTGCTGCTCGAATGAGCTATCATCTCTTGTTATATGAACCAAAACTCTATTGCATGTGAATCATCATTAAGTAAAGTTGTATCTTTTTATTGTATCCCTCCGCGCTCTAAAAACTTTTATTGATCTAGTTTTTTTCCTTTTACATCAATGCATTGGGGTTGTCTACTGTCTTGATCTTTTTCCGACTCATTTTACATTTTACTCACTATTTACAGCTTTTCAAGTCTTCTGTCAACTGCTGTAACAGCAATTTTTTTTTTCTGTTTACTTCCAACTAAATTAGTGGTTGCTTTCAACCTTGTTGAGAGTAAGTTAGTCATAAATTGTAATTAACTAGCATAAATTATCTGCATAAAATAACTTGCACTGTAAACCAACATTAAAGTCTTCAAACAGAGCCACTAAGATAACAATAAAAGGCAAATAACTGAGCACTGATGCGCCCGAACCATTGCTTAAAACCTCTATCTTTTGTTTAGGTTGTTGTTGCAATATTTTCATAAGTAACCATGACATATATATATATATATATATATATATATATATGGAACATGAAAAAAATCAGTTTTGTATTTCATATCTTAAACTTTTACTATTTTAAAAAATAATCTAAAAACTTCCATTCTCTTAATTGATGATGTGGTCAGGTACTTTTAACTACGTATCTTTGTTTAAAACTTTTATTCTAAAATGCATTTTATTTTGTTGATTATTTATTGATGTGGTGTGTATCACACTACTTACTATACACACGCTTGTAAAATGTTCTGATGATAAGATCAGTACGATCTTCAATCAGAAACCTTGTTTGTATTTTTAAAACTAATTTATATATTATTGCAACAAGTTTAAGCTAAAATAATAATGTAAAATTGTTCTTCTTCGTGAGTGATAACCCGCCCTTGTGGGTCAATGCAACTTTTTTTTTCCCTCGCTTCCGATTATTTTTAAAGCTTTTTTAAGCTTTAAAGGATTGTTTAAGTTTTATGTGTTGTTGTTGTTACATGCATTTTATTTGCAATAAATATTTATATTTTTACTTTATTTTTTAAAATTAGGAAACATTGAAAAGCATATTTTAACAAAAAAGAAAGATCCGTAAGTCTAATTGCAAAATTTTTTATTTGTTTAAGTATTACTTGTTACAGCATTTTTCTTGCTCAGGATAATGTAGTAGAAGTTTGATACACATATAAGAAAAACTGGACTGAAGCAAATAAAGGTTCGGAAGTATCGCAATAAGACAAATATTCTTTACTTTTACATGTTTTTTATTTTATGTACAATTTTTAGCAAAATTTATATACAATATACGATAAAATTATTTTATAAAAAAATTAACCGAATAATCTTTGTTAAAATACAATGGCCTTTGTTAATCTTAGTTAAAATAGCGTTCATAATCTCAGTTAAAATGGTGTTTTGGACAATATAAACAAACTGTACAAAAATAAGTAAAAAACAACAAAAGTTTAAGTTACTCTCATAGAAGTAATTTAAAAAATTTTCTTTAATAAAATTTTATTAAATAAAGTTTATTTAATAAAACTCTAAAGAATAAAACCAATAAACCAGAATTTTTTTCACAATTTTCTTCCACCTTGTTGTCAAATAATATTTGTTTGTATATTCTTTAGGTTTATTTATAAAGCTGCTCGCCATCGTTTAAAACAAGGCGATATGATGCCACTGGATGAAGCAAAGAGACCAATGAATATTCGGAAACCAATTAAACCTTGTATTACTCCAGTTATAACTGATAACTTATAATAAATTTTTTTTGTTTTGTTTTTCTTTTTACTATTAAATTATTAGTCAAGTAACACTGTATTATCTAATATATGTTAGATATATATATATAATATATCTAATGTATAAAAAAGGGAAAAGTTCATCAGACACTATTAAGTTCAAGTTTTAAATTAAATTTAAAAAAAGGTTAGCCCGATGACCGTCACTCAAAAAATCACAAAAAGAATCCCATTCAGCAGTCAGTTAGCCTTAGGGAATTAGTTAGTAGTGTGATAGTAAGGTGAGTTCGAAAAAGAAGTACAAGATGAAAGAGATTATTGCACGATCAAAAACAAAGGAAAGCAAGGAGGAACTGAACACAAACTAGGGTCAAAGACAAGATACAAATCAAGAATTAAAGGTAAGTGATTAAGGTTGTCTAGAAAACGAGTCACAAAGTTAACTATCTGAGTAAGTGATTGAGAAATGCAGAAGCTATTGACTTTAGTGCTAGCAGGGTCAGTGGTGTTAAAGTCACCAATAATAACAAAATTGGCAGAAAGGTAAAAAGAAAGAGCATGGTCAATTAAATCAGAAATTATATATATATATATATATATATATATATATATATATATATATATATATATATATATATATATATATACATGAACAATAATATGTTTTACCCTGAAAGTTTTGTTGTTTTTTTGTAATAAAAAAATCCGCTACCACTTTGGCGTGAATAACTTTTGATTGGATAAAACGGAGGTAGTACATTATAATTTTAATTTATAAACAGGATTAAGGATATGGAACAAAATTCAATTTCAGGTATAGTAAGTTAATTATTATTTTTTTTTTTACTGATTCATTTGTAAAAAATAAATATTTTATCCATAAAAAGAAAAAATATTGATCTAACTCAATTTTTTTTATTTGTGGAGAACAAAATAATTCTAACCTCTCTAGATGCTGAAAAAGCTTTTGCCAGTTGCAACTGGAATCTTTGATAAACTTTACGTTGATAATAACCTACCTCTCCAAAAAGTTAACACTGCATCTTGTTTATATCACAACAGTAGTGCAACTATCTTTTACCTTGGCTCCAGTTTCATTTGCTCTTAAGTAAGGATCGATATTGTCGCCCCATTTGTATAACATATACACCCAAAAAATTACTTGAAACTAAAAAATGATAACTTTGTTGATACTTCTATACATGAAAACTTTACAGGTGTTTTTGCATATGCTGACGACATTATTCTGCTTAGCTCTACTCTCTCTGGTCTTGAAATGCTTACAACAACGCGAAATGGTTACAATAACTTAAACGGCATAAAACATAATGCTTCTGAAACAGAACTTTTGCTCTCTGAAAAATAACAAATAATTGCAAGATAACCCTGACAACCATCAAATAATACCAAATGTAAAACCTAATCATCTGGGCATCATGTGGAATACAGAAAAATCTAAGTTTGCCTCACTAATTAGATCAAATATTAACAATTGGGTTTCAAATTACCAAACAGCAGTGCAAACTTTGATTCAATCTGGTATTCGATTTGCACATATATCTTCTAATATCCAATTATATAAATTATTAGCAGTTCCAACGCTAACTCATGTTCTGGAGCTCTGTGAAAATAGAGAGTTAAAAATTCAAAGACTTGATAAAATTGATGAAATGCTGTAAAGTCTTTTTTTAATGTATGCAAAGTAATGTATGCAAAAACTAAATAAACTCTCTATTTAAAGTTTGGGAGATATCAACATACATACAACAAAATAAAAAAAACCTTTTTATACTTCTATTAAATAATAAAGTAACTTTTGAAATCATCAATTCCCAGCTTTCATTTTTAGATGATATAAAGGAATTATGTAAGATCCATAAACTAACTATGAAAAATTTAATTCAGGTAACACGGCGTTAACTTTAGTTCAAAAATCTCCCGATTGCCAGTTTGCGCGTGTTTTCACACTTACTGTCATAGTAAGTAGAAACCATGTAAAAATAACAGTAAAATTATAAAAGACCAATCAATATCAAAAAATTTTGCGAGTGGTTTCTATCGGTACAGACATTTTGCGCTAAACATAAGAAAACAAAGCGTATGTTTATGTACCTCATCCTACCATTTTTTAAATTATATCTTGAGGTTACACTTTCACATTGATAACATAATATCAAATTGATATTTGAAGAAAAAATATTACAAAAACTGGACACTCCAATTATAATTGTACTTCTGAATAAAAATTAATTATTAAAAATCTATGAATCTATATGTAAAATAATTTTTTAAACTTAAAATTTTGTATAACACCAAAATTTAAATCCAAAAATCTCCAAAAATAATTTAAAGAAATTATGAAATACAAGTAATCTGATTAGTAAATAAAATTCTTCAAAGAAAATTCTTCAAAGAAAAAAAATTCTTCCAAGAAAATGCTGCTATAAAAATTAATTTAATTGGTTTGTAGTTCTTTTGATTTCGTTGCAACAAAGTAAGACGTCAGGTACAGCCTGCCAATACCTAAAAAACAAAAATAAAATTTTACTACTGTCCTATCAATTTATCATACATGTTCTATTTTCATCCAATTTGTAAATTCTATTTTATAAATCTACACACACTGTAATTTGCATAGCTTTTTGAACAGCCAAGCTTTAGATGTATTGTGGATTAAATAGGTAACCATAACTTAATCTTAAACTAATAGAATAATTTATTCTTAAATGAATATAATAACTTAACCTTAACCAATAGAACTACTATATATATCTACAACTTAATTTATTTAAAAAAAAGAAATAGCATAACATAAGGAAAGATGCCATCTTATTGATATTTTTTACAGGTAATATTTTCAAAAACTAATAGAAATAAATTTTGAATATCTTATCTTTTTTATGAAGGTTATATAAAAATTGAGATATAATCAAAATGCAAAAGGATTTTCAGAAATAAAATGAAGCCAAAAAATTTGTTGCTTGTACATTCTTTTTGATGTTTGTCAGCATAATTTTTTTAATAAAAAGTCATAAAACTGAGCAACCTTGCAAGTCATTACATCTCTGATACCTATTTTGAAATTCACAATACTTAAAGTAATCTTTTTGTGACATACAAATCCTGAGTCCTTTTAATACTCCACATCCCTACTTGGATCATGGCTTTACTTAGATAACCTTAACACAAACATCAAGGTTTTGAATAAGCTAATACCTTATATCAGATTACTATAACCTCATACAAAGTATATCTGATACCTTACCAGATGTTTATCAACTTTGAAAAACAACCTTACAAATTGTTTTGGTTTTTGAACATGCAACATATAAATGGATATTAATGAATATAAATGAGAGAAACACAGTTTTTAACACCAACATTTGTATAAAAAATCAATAATATAAAACATTTATATCTGTAAAAATAGAAAACTTGTGAACACTTTAGTTCATTACTTATTTAATGTAACAAATAGCTGTTTGAATATACTAATTATAATTCCTAAATTACTTTTTTGTAGCTGTTTACACATTTTATTCACAGTAGTACCAGTCTTTGCATTACTAGAGGTCTTTCAATAATTTCAATAACACCGTTGTAATCAATAATAAGCTTGTTTATCAACTTAATAATAACTTAATAATAAGCTAATAATATGTAACCAAGTAAAATATTTATCCTTCATAAAAATATTTAATGAAGTTACAATACAAGTATACAAAAAAAAAATGCAGAATAAAATCCAGACAAATTTAAAATTTAATAAACATAACTTTGAAATTCACAAATATGGAGTAAAACAGAAAACAAAAATATAAAAGTAAAAATAATAACTAATATAAACGATAAAAAGATAAAACTTGGAACTTCAAAAACTTTCAAGCATTTTTTTTTTCATCTCAAAGCCTGCTTACCTCAGCCAAATAAAATAAAAAGTAATATTCAGTGTGTTTAAATATTCTAATAACACAATAATGTAAAATAAACATAAACTTACTTCATAAAATGTTCTGAATGCATTTCTCGATTAAAGATGGACAACACTGATGTGTAGCCTGTCACACGTTGCAAGTTAAGATATTTGTAAACATTTTTTTATACTGTTTTATATATATATATATATATATATATATATATATATATATATATATATATATATATATATATATATATATATATATATATATATATATATATATATATATATATATATATATATATATATATATATATATATATATATATACCTAATAATAAATATTATTTTTATAAAATATATTTTTTCAAATATAAAATTAAAAACTTTTTTTTTTAATGTTAAGCGAGAAATAAATAAAAATTCTATAATTACTATTTAACTATATTTACATTTAACATTCAAGATAAAGTCTTAAAAAATAGTTTGTTTGTTTTTTAATCAAATAATAAAAAAATATATTTTTTAAAAATGGCTGCCAGTTTACTGAAAATTAGTTAAAAAGTCACAAAGAAACATCAGAGATAAACTCATACTTATCTTTTACTTCATTTATAAAAAAATTCCACAAATGGTCCTTAGTGTGTTAGGTCCATATTTAGTTAGAGATTTAAAAGTTAATTCATTATTTTAGGTTTTAAGACTTTTTGAAAATCAAAAATGTCAATTTTTATAAGAAAAAATAAGATATCTCAAGATATATTCATTAACTTTCAAAATCTCTAGCTAAAAAGAAAGATATTAATGTAAGTATCAATTTCAAATGTAAAACTGTGTGTATAGAAGAGTTAACATAGTGGTTTATCGAGCATCTTTTTGTAGACTTATTTATTATGATTAAAATAATACGAAGATTGTGTAAAAATACAAATATTCTTTTATGAACAAAAAATATAACTCCTATTTCAACATATTAACACATAAAAACATTCAACTTCAGACCAATTAAGCCATGATCCTTGGTTACTTAACTGCATATTTTAGTTTAGACTGAACCAAACGTAAAAATATTCCAGTCTACACGACATTTAGTTTTAATAGTCG